CACGTTACGGAACCGAATCCGATTTCTCGGTGGGTGTGGGGCTCTCCTCCTCCTTCTCCTCTTCCTCCTTATCTCCGCCTCCTCCTCCTCCTCCTTCTCCTCCTCCTCCTCCTCCTCCTCCTCCTCCTCCTCCTCCCTCTCCTGGTCGTCGTCGATGTCTTTCAGGGTCGGCGGCACCGGCCGTCAGGCCTTCACAATCCGACTTCTCGGTGGGGGTGGGGCTCTCCGTATCACCTCGATCCCACGCCCCCCGGCCTCTGATGCATGTTGGAGCGAGGGGATCTCTGGTCGCGCAGCTCGCTGCACACTGCTTCGTGTTTCTGCTTGCCGTGCTGAGCTCACCCGCTCGTGCACGCCCGTGTGGATGAGTGATACGCTCGAGGTGGCTCACTGGGGGCGGTTCTCGCTTTGCGACTTCCCCCCTCAAAACTACACCCGATAGCAGGAGGAGGGAGAGGAGGAAAAGGAGGCCACCGGTGATAACAAATGACAATGAGGATGGGATGAGGGATAGGAGAACAAAGATGATGAGCAGGAGGCTGATCATGGTTGTATAGGCTGCCAACCATTAGGATGATGAGTAGGACGAGGAGGATGAGGAGTACCAAGAGCATCCGCATAAGTGTGGGGAGGGGGAGGGCACTTTCTTGGTCTTCTTCCTCCTCGTTCTCCTCGCCCTGCTCCTCCTCATCCTTCTGCTGATCCTCCTCCCTCTCCTTGTGTTGCTTGGGCTGGAGCTTTATTCTTCACCCCCGGTAGCCTTCTCACTGAAAAGCTTTCGAGGACTGCCTGACCTGACCTGAACTAACCTTGTGATGCTACTGTTGTTCCTTCCCCTCGTCCATCTCAGCTCGCATGACAGCTCACCTCACCCGTTTCCACATGACCTTCCCCTCCTTGTCCTTCCCCTCCGCGTTTCTGGCTAAAATTCAGTTTCAAATCAGTCGGCATACAAGGGTCTCTGTTCGAGGGCCCTTCGCGGAGCTCCCCCTCGACACCGTCCCCATTTTTCAGCATGAGCGTGGCCAGCATGTCCCTGCTGCTGGAGGATGAGATGGGGTTGGAGGTCAAAAGGAAGGTCGGTCGGAGTTTGTTCGGCGCAGTGCATGTGCAGCATATCCTGTTTTTCCGAAGTAAACAGAGGGTCTCTGTTGGGGGGCCTCAGTTGGATAACCCCTTGACGCTCTCTGCCAGCGTGACTGGTTGCCTTGCAGGAGTCCAGAGTAGCAAGCCAAGTTCAGCAGTGCCCAGAATCTTGCAAGTGACAATGCTGAAGGGGCCAGAGCTTATCCCCCCCTCCTTTTCCTTTGCCACGCAGGCCCCTTTTGTGTGACGGCATACCCCGAACCCACACAACGCGAGCTCCTGTCCAGTCGGGCGGAGTAGGTAGGGGGAAACACCTGAGTGGAGTCCCTTCCTCCTTTGACGTGAGCCTCCTCCTCGTCCTCTCTCCGCCCTTTTCTAACTGAGACTCTCAGTTCCAAGTAGGTGGATGAGGAAGGTCTCCGTTCGAGGGGCCTCCGTGGAGCTCCCCCTCGACACCCTCCAACATTCAAGCGAAGAGCGCAGACCGGGATGCGCCAGCTAATGGAAGCATCTGCATCAGGCAATTGCTTTACCTTTCTTTGCCTTTTTGCCCGCATCTCCATCGCCATGCGTTTATATTTCATAATTCAAGAGGCTCAGATTTTGAGCCCCCAACCTTGGTGGATGGTTGGTGTCTGGGCGGTTTGTCCGCCGGGCAGGGCGGGATATATATATATATACTGTCCTAACTGAATTGGAGCTCTAGGCTCCACACTTGCGGCCACCCCGCTCTACAGGGGAGGGGCTCCAGACGTCGCTGCGGAGCTTGAAGCTTCCTCCTGCCGAGTCGATCCGATCCTCAACTCGCTGGGGTCTTTCATCTCGACTCAGACTGCTGACCCTCACGGCAATTCCCTAGCGGTGAGCGGCGCAAAGTGGGCAGGAGCCTTCAAAGCTGAAGAGTGAATGTTTCACTGCCGACTATCTACAGAGGGGGAGGGGGTGCTCCCTCTTCTACTTCCCCCCTGGGGAGCAGCCCATCGCAACGACGATCTCTCGAGAAGGGTCTGAAAGCCGATGGGCCCCCAGTCGAGGCACGAGCACTGACATAAACATACGTTTTCGGAGGTCCGCGCGGATCTATCGGATCGGCGCTGGGCCTCCCTTCCTGGTGCGCGGCGCGCGGCAGTGGCGGCAGTGGAGGCGCCGCCAGGGGGCTCCGGTGTCGATCCAAGAAATCCGCGCGGGCCTCCCAGCATTTTCTCCAAATCGGCTTGCCTATAAGAGTCCCAGCTCAAGCCATAGAGAACTGGTCCACTGATGCCCCCTGTTTTCCATTGCGCAGTCAAACGATCCGCATGACTTCTCCTGTATCCACATGGCGTCCTCCTCTGCCATGTGAATGACTTTCTCTGCTGTCCGCATGGCTTTCTCTGTATCCGCATGGCCTCTTCTGCCATTCCAATGGCTTCCT